GATAGGCTCCAAAGCTACACAGAGAAACCCTGTCTCACAAAAACAAAAAACAAACAAACAAAAACAAAAGAAGAAGAAAGCCAACATGGAAAATGGGGCACTGGGGGATGTTTCTGGCCTCTGACTCTCACTGTGGCCATGCCTCTGTCACAGCCACTAGCCACATTTTCTGTGTCTTTTAGAAATGGGCTTCTTGTATGTTCGTTTACTGATAAACAGCAAAGAAGTTGGCACTGTTTCCTCTTACCTGGAGTTTAATGAGAACTGAAGCAGAGGCAAGAAACCCTAAAATTTCAGTTACAGGAAATCTCCAGCCACATGTCCAGACGCTGAGGCTGTCCAGAGAAAGAACACAGTGATACCCACAGTTTTATTTTGTTCTGCACCCCTGCCTGCCTTGGTCACTAAGGACTAGTGGAGAAAGAATGGAAGGAATATTCATGTTTGATATGAAAAAGTCATGGGCTGTGATGGAAAGAGAGCATTGTATCATACATTTCTACAGCAACTAAACGTGTAACATAACAGTTATGTTCGCAGAGTTATGTGCAAGAGTTTTCTTGTTAGCAGATATACAAGCAGGTGAGAAGATGGGACAGATAAATAAAACATTCTTACATTTCAGCTTTGAGTTGCTATTTGTCTGGACTTTTAACCCCCCCCACCATTATATACTGAACTCCTTTGGTGAGAAGGAATCCTCTTTTGTCTCTTTGATGGAATAAAGGCAATGCTCCAATGTTTTCTCCACACTTTTCTGTTGGGATATCACTTGGGAGAAGCATAGTGTTTGTCCACCAGGTACAACATAGGCAATATAGGAAAACTACCTCGGGCAAGTATTTTCCAAGAATGAAAAATAAAACCAAATTTAAAAAAATAGTCAATGAGTTTGGCTACAGAGCCACTGTGGCTTTGAAGGCACAGAACAGGAGATGGCTGGAACTTTACTCTTGTTTAAAACCCCACTTTATGAAAGAAACATGGACTAAATTTACCTTCTCAAATTGGAATGTTTTTATTCAAACTGAACTTAGAATTTTTTAAAACTTTTTAAAAGCTTTTTGGTCTGTATATTTAAAATACTCCTCAAATTCAGTGGCTCGGGAGACTTACCTCCAGCCGGTCCTCTTCTTTCTTTTTCTTTCTCTCTTTTTTCTCTCATTTCAAGAAATGTGGAAAACATTAACGAAAATTGTGTTGGTCTGTACAATTTTATTCTGCTAAAGACAGGTTTTATGATACATTTAGCCTTTTAAATGCCACTAATAGTCTCTAGGGACACATGGTTTTTTCTCTAGTGCAACAATTAAGTCCATTTCAATGCTATTTGGATAAGTTGAAACAATTCAGTCACTGTGTGCCTGCACTCAGGTACCCACTGCAAGCCCAGAGGGGACACCCAGCCTTACCTGAATAATAAAGTTTTACCAGCTTCAGACATGTACCGAAGGGTTTGCCTGTTCCGCATTCCACTTGCCTATTTTCCCTCCACTTCTTACAGGAGGGAATAATGAGACCTTCCACACTGTGCGCTGGTCAGAAGAGTGACTCGGTAATGAGTGTGATTAATCACAATTGCTTTCTTTCTCCTCCCTGTCTGGAGTTTGAAATGTGTTTCCCACTAGAACCCAGCAAGAATTCTTTGATTTATTTATTTTATTTCTTCAATCAAATTTGGAATAAAGATGTGTGTGTTGGGGAGGGGTGCTACACACATGTGCATTCTGCTTTTTGGGTGGGAGTGTACGTTGGTAGTTGCAAATCTGTTCATAAAGCATATTTGCATGTTGCTCAATTATGAAGCTCAATTATAACCAAATTATCTCTGACTGAGGAATGGGGATGTGTCAGAGGAAGTAATTTAGTGGATTCCAGATCTGCACATGTAGCTCAGACTTTCAACTTAAAGTTAAGTCACTTGGAAAGAAGTAGAAGTCCAGGAAAGTGGCTGTTTCAGCATCAAATCCCCAAGAAACAACTATTCCCCTCTCGGACATGTGATCTGCTGAGTTGGCTCATTAGAATAATTGCTGGCAAAAAAATTCTTTCTTTTTTTTTTAAATGCAGGCATATGTTCTTTTGTTGTTCTATGGTACAAGAAAAAGAGATTCTTAACCAAGCTGGGACGAAATGGTCCCAGGACTTTGAAGTCAGGGGGCATTCCCTGTGCCTTCCCAGCCTCTTCCACTGATCTTGGAATGCAGAAGAGACTCCAAAAGAAACAAGTCAACAGGAAGAGCAAGCTGACCACACACAGGACCATCTGTAGAAACCTGGTTTTAATTGCTAATCAAGTTGTGATCT